GAATACTATACTGAGGTTCCTTCCCGATGACTCTAAATCTAAAGTACTGGAAGACTTCTCTCGTCGATTGTTAATCATGGCTAAAGAACTAAATTAAACATTTTAGACATTTTATGGAAGTATCCAGGAAAGCGACTTTCACCAAGCTATTCACCAACTTCAGTAGCTGTATACGTCTAAGGGAAAAATGAAATCTCATGTATTTCCTATCTTTTAGAACTTCGAAGTTCCCTTGTGAATATACGACTAACGCAAAACTCAGAGCTCTTCACAAAAGAAACATCTCGTAGAGAAAGATATTCTGTGACATGCATTTATGGAAGTTTAAAAGAAATAAATGATCTTAGCACAGTCACAAAGAAGACACTAGTTAAGAGTTTTGGATTCAAAGGGGATGTGCAATGAGTATTTTTAAAATTGACAATTTATGAAGCACAGTTCTCACCTTATATTCCTCTATGTGAATCAGTCATTTCATGTGTCACCATAAACATGTTTACACTGAGTTTTTATAAGCAAGTCCTCTGAATGTCTGTTGACAAAGACCGCCTGGCCTGGTCAGCGAAAGACACGACATCATATAGGGTCAGGTCATCCAGCTCTTCATAGTGCATCTCTTAAAATATCCTTTAGGGTTAAATTCTATCGATTCAAAAAGCCTAGTTCCTCTTGTTAACCTACAGTTGAAACACTAGTCATTCATTAGAAAAAGTCAAACTAAATGATCAGAATCACTTTGTAACCTTCTCATTTTCAGCTTAATGATTTTCTTTCAAGACAAACTTATTTCCGTTAATTTTATCATTATTACTGTCCCAATCATTTCACAATTTTCGATACCAGACACTAGTTAAATAAAACGAAAATAATCACAACGTAGCAGTAGGAGTAAAGACATCAAATCAGAAGATAGTGTTTTCCCTTTAACATGACTGAAAAATAGGTTTTAATATATCACTGTATGGTCAATTTTGATGATATAAAGTGTGAATTAGATTTTTCGATCCTAAGTTTTATTCTATTTTCGCTACCTCAATGTCTTGTATTCAGTCAAGCGGCACAAAACATGGGGTAGTACTTTTGTAGAGCGAAAGAAAGAATATAGTAAGCATCATTATTTGAGTATAAATAAAAATATCCTTATTTGTCTCAGATACATTTTCCTCTGAAATTTTCGAGTTCGCGTGTTAACGTATACCGAAGTGGCTACTGCCATGATGTGCGCCTGAGACACATTGATAATTCTAACTTTTAATTTTTTTGGCAACCTCCCGTCTCCTTTTATGGGTACTAATACTGACACTGAAATGCAGCAAACACAACAGTTGAAATAGACGGCAGCATTTCCAGAACTGTTTTCATACGGAGGAGATATCCTATTAAAATCACAAAATTTTCTTGAAAGTGGAGTGTCTTGTCATCCTTTTATCATTAAAAGCGGACTAGTGATACCTGGTTGAAAGTAGTGGAATTTACTTTTTAGAAATTACGTGGCATAAACTGAAACCACTACGCTGTAGGTATTATATAAGATAAGGCTGCTCATTTCAAAGACCCGTAATTTTAGGATATTAACGCCTTCTTTATTCTATTTACGACAGCAGCTGAAGGAGTTTCATTTAGTATTTTTTACTACTGTTTGTAAGTAATCCGAAAGAGATCAGTGGGATTATTCACAGACATATCATGTTTTCATTGAAACACACCGCTTCCTGTTTCTTTTGTAATTATCAGCTTCCCTTCAGTGTGTTTATTTTCAGCATAAATGGAAATAATGATGAAGTACTGCCAGTTTTTTCCGTTTTCAGGCGCTTTTCCGTTTCAAAAAGATTCGCACGTGTATATCGTCGTAGAGATACTCCACAATAGAACAAAAATGTTGGTAAGCATTCCAAAATTTTCAGCATCTCATTCGGTGATACTATGTCGTAAGATGTCATTTTTAGACAATTAAGGTGTCTAAAACTTTAGGTTCTTTTAGACTTCATGTAGCAGGTAGTTAGCACGGGAAAGAGGCAAGGTAGGGCGTAAAGATAGCAGATCACACAACAACGTAAAACGACAATATCGCTACTGGAATTTCAAAACTTGAAACCCCATGTTCCACTCTAACAGCAAGGAATTTAGAGAAAAGTGTTGCAATCAAGAAAGGAAGAACGAATATAATTATAGGATAATACGAGCTCGTTTTATTTCGTCCATCCTAAATAAATCAACTAGATGTTACAATAACTCCAAGTTATAGACAGAAAGCATGAGCAACATAATTTCAAAGATGGTATAAATAGACATTCATTTAGTGTTAAAACAGTAACTATTTATATAGTAATTAGACAGAGGGGTGGAGTTTTGACTTCTGTCGGAAACAAGAATGGACTAGAGACAAAATATCAGATAGAACAACAGAGCTAATTTACACATATTATGGTGCAGAATTTAGGAGGGTGCGGATGAATAGTGAAGTAAAATTATAAAGTAGATAAAGTAATTTAATTTATTAGATTTGAAGCCTTAATAGTGAGTTCACTTCAGTGAGTGAGAATCAAATTTAAGTGGAATGGTACGCAACAGAACAAAAGCACATGAACAACTACCGGTAGTGAGAGATGAGTCACACTCTGTTTCTGTATGCATAGGTTAAATTGAAGTTTCTTGATGGCAGTGGCTTCTGAGAACCGAAGTAACCATGCTTTTCTTTCTATATTGATTATTTTGAAAGCTTGACTAATTTCCACTGTATCTCCCGTATCAACTAGGTGTCTGGCGATTGCGCTTGAGAATACTTTGCTGCCTTGAAAACAGAGACTTTTGGGGATATGCTCGGAGAATCTAGTAGACGCCCTCCTCTCAGTCCATCTTATGTACTTGCTGCCGCAAGTTCAGGTGAATTGGTAAATGAAGTTGGAGTTGGCATAAGCAGGATACTTATCTACATACACTTAATAACTTCTTTAAGAGGTACACAGATGATGACAAGTCGAAGAAATAAAGGATGGTGTCATCTTATTCTGCACAGACCGTTGTTATTGTTTTATTCGAATTCATAAAGGGGAATAAGTGTATGAACTAGACTTCTGTAGGAAGCCAGTAAATTTTATAAAAACGTATTTACTTGTCAGTGACTTTCACCTTTCTTTCTTCTTTTTCACCATTTTTCCCTTACCTGAGTAATATCTCATAGTGTTTGTTCAGCTTTTCTCTCTGTAATTTCTGATAGCTATCCAGTCAAATAAACGCCGCCTACAGTCTTCGAAACAATGCTATCAACTTCAGTATCTGGGATAAGATACCTTTAAAATTTTACATTTCTAGCTACTAGTGTGCAGTTTTATTTGAAATATGAGTACAAAACCGAAACCTGATTGTTTACTCAATTACATTCACCTTATTTGATGCTATTAGCTAAGAGATTTAACAGCGTATTTCTGAAGTCTGGAGAGAAAAGCTAATTTTAAAACTAGACATAGTTTGCGTTTTTTAAACGAAAAATTTCGTACTCCTAGGCACTTGATAACGTAACTTTAGACTATGTTCTTTTTGGCTGTACCGGTTTCCTTGCAAAGTACAAAAAGTTTTTGGTACTTATAACGGGTTAATTGTAAAGTCCAAAATAGTATGGTTAAGCGAATTGTAAAAGTGTACTGAAGTACTTGCCGAATACTGAAATCTATTATGATATAATTTTACCCGCCAGCAATAACTTATTACAGAAAGACAGACAATGTTCCATCGTACAGCTGCTGATTTCTACAAAATTACAGGTAAAAACAAACTTTACTGTCATTAACTCTCCTTGGAAAGGATTAGTGAACCATTACAATCTTAACGCACTTGTCTATTAAAGAAGATGTATATCACCACTTGAACTGGTTCAGGTAATCTCTGTTTGTCAAATCTAAGTTGATACTACGTGACCTGCTTGCAGGAACTCCTGTTTTAAGGATAAGGAATGAAGTGATCATCCAAGTCGACAATTTCATTTATTTAATAAATTGAAACAACCCTAATGAATTAGTTGTGGGCAAAATCGTAACAAGGACGAAATAAAACTTGTCAAAGTGTGCATAGTATGCCTTCATGTAAAAATCCGACAACCTATTACACTGAGGGTTAACTGGTGTACAAGAAGTTCAAGCAGATGGGATTGAACAAAGTTAACTGTGATCAGAAAAATGACAAAGAACGAACAAACAGTATGAGCTATTTAGCAGAGTATAAGCGAATGGCATAGCTTCTGGAAATACTAAACACCAGTGGTTGAAGATCGTATACAAATAGATTTAGACCGATATCACTGATACAAATGTAATCATACCTTATTCTTTCGGAAGCATCTATCAATTTATGCAGTTGAAGTGAAAAGAATGAATCTACCAGGCTATGATTAGTTAGGTAAATAAATGACAATCAAACACAATTCCTACAAAACCAACACTTGAAAATTAATCTGATGTTCACTAGCGGCTGGCTCTATTCAGCCAGTTAACCTAGGGTTCTAGTGGGAAGCCGTGGCCAGTGGGGTACAGCAGGCCGAAGATGAGGTAGTAATTCATCGAAGAAGACATTGCGCAATGGTCGCGCTGTGTCGTGAATTGGCAGAAGTTAGAATTCAAGAACCATTGGATTGGGTCCCAGTGGCTCAATGGTCTACGAGGTTTCTTGCCTTGCAACCAGAAGGTTCTAAGTTCCAGTCCCGGTGGATTCGTACTGCTGAAGAGTCCCAAACTAGGACTAAACAGCTGTCCACTACTCCCAGGTTTTCCAGTGGTTCTCTAACTGATGTCAGCTCATGATAAAATCCTCCATACAATCAAAATGACAAAATCTAAAACCGTTTCTGAATAGCCTTTCAACTTCTGAAAACTAGTATCAGGCAAATTTCTATTGGAAACTAACCTATGAAACATTCAACCTTGTGTTACATCTTCTGGATATTCTTTCACTCCCAACGAATAGACCGTAAGAAGAGGAATGGCATTAATCTAAATCATTTCCTACCGAAAGCTACTGACTTCAGGAAAACATCGTAATAGGTAACTATTAATATACTTCATAAATCAACTGAATCACAATCACAGTAGATACAATCCATTTTACTATAGAACAAAAAGTAGAAGATGGAGCAGATAATAATCAAGAATGAAATTTTCAAACTGACACAATACTGAGTATTTTAGGTAGTAAACTGTTCACAACTTACGCCTTCGTAGGCACCCATCATCTACACAAAGAAGTATAAAAGGCAAATGTTTTTTGTAAATAAAGCCCAGATAAATGATCACAGAACTTGATTATTGTTCTCTTTATTTTAAAAAAGAAGAGGGGATTGTAGAAAATAAGTCACAGTTCACAGCCCATGGTAACAAGAACTGGACAAAACAATGTTGTCAGTTTTCTAAAAAAATAATGAAGCGATGTTGAAGGACCACAACAGCCTGCAAACAAAAGAAAAATTATCGATAAACAAAAAGTAAGAACATTTATGTATATCCGATGTGATTGGTAAATCAATTTTATCAATAAAATCGACAACGGAACGACTCATTTATACCATCGAAACTCGTGCGTGATTGGTTGTTTGAAGGTCATATATCTCTCAGTTATGTTAATACACAATCTTAGTAACCGTAATAATACATTGAATGGTAGAGCGACCTTGATGACAAAAACAGGATATTCCCTGCATTCAATAACTGGCTTCATTAACAAAGTTGTTAATATAGACATGAATTGGTTGAATGACATAAATAGCCTATTATATGCTTTTTTATTATCTTGAAGTTAGGATGTCTGCCATGTCAAGCTAAACATCGTAGGTAAAACATCAAGAGTTTAGTTACTGGCTTTAACTTATCACAGGCATCATATCCTCACTACTATAAGAAGCAAATACTTGAATATCATTGTAAATGATTAAGGTGGTTAAACTATCCCTTAATACAGGCAACAAGTCAGAAATATATTTCTGTTTGTATACTGAAGTTTAAAATAAATACAGTAACACTTGACGATCAATAATCAGTAGAGAACAATAAAGTCTACTTTATTCAAAAGGTTCATTGTGGATTGGGCGTAAAGTCTTAGCTAAGACATGCAAGTCATTTGATGGATCCACAAACTATGATCGACTCCATTTGATATAAGACGGGGAATGTGCCTTCTATTCAACATCTTGCACGACAAAATGATGAACTGCTGGGACTGATGCTGTCAGATAAAAAAGACTTCTCAATAAAATGAATGAATCCTTAAGACTTATAACTTTTGTGCATATAGTTAGATATTCGATAATTCTTAATCATTAAAATCGGTAAAAGGCAAAAGTATTAGAATGATAACTCCAATTTTTGAATGGATTATCAGACTTCATTCAGTAGGCCTCAGTACCGGTTAGTGGTGAGTATATTTATCACAGACAACCAAAGACATAAATTCTGATTTTGTTCACTAACAAATGACTAGTCAAGGGTTAAACTTTCTGACTGGTAGGTCAACTACTCACAAACTAACTATCAAAGCTCAAAGCAGATATATGTCAGAGAAGAATTAGAAATAACAAGTATCTGTTTTATCAGTTCAGCGTTTTTCCAAATTAATTATGAGGCTTAGTTAGTATAAGCAAGTTGGAATTCACTTTGACTTCCAGGTGGGTTCTCATTTACCATTTAGCAACTACCGGGGCGTAAAGTAATAGATAGCGTATGGAATGCACATCTAATAAACCTAGTAATAACAGCAATACATTAAATTTAGTTGATCACTGTTTTTTAAAAGCCACGATCTGGTTAACAAGGTCATTAGTTAAATGTTCGGTAAACGTCACATAATAAACGTTTATACGAGCGGAAACAAAACATGCATATTAAGCGTTTTGAATATTACGATATTTCCATTTAAAATGTTAGTACTTACAAAAAGGTGACATCAACTGCTAGAATTGAAAAAATCTGTTAACCCATCTTGGATATTAGATAAACTATCATCAACGGGGCTGCCACTATTTGATGCAGTTGAAGAATTAGGCAACAGTTGATGCGGGTTGTCTGTGCGATGATTTAAAGTTGGTTTACGCGTAGGTGGTTTACGTGCGCGATTCTGTAAAGGTATTAGATTTAAAAGAGTTATGTAAATGAATAAAAAGGTACTGGAAAATACTTTTAACAAGTTAGATCAGTCAGACTGAACTCTATTTCTCAAAAGACAGATATAAATGCAATGAAATGAAGATTTCTGCATAGTAATCACAGCGACTTTACTAACACCAAAGGACTCCAATGTTCCAAAAAGTATGGTTTCAAATGTAACTGAAATCTAAACTCAGAAGCGAAGTTAAGACACAACAAGACTAAAATTCTGTTCTACAACGCAGACAATACATACAAAAAGCGATTAGGTGAAGAACTAACTTTCAAGAGAAGCAGAAAGACTGATATTATTTTATATCTAAGGCCTTACACTTTTATTACATATGAGAATATTGTAATAATAAGAATGTATAAAGAATAGTCCTATCAAATAACTGGCTTAGAGTTTATTAAAAGTGAAGGCAGCCAAACTAGGATGTCTTATGCATGTGTATGTCATGTGTCCATAGTCTTCAGGTGTAGACTGATGGTGAATCTCCTCCAACAACAAAAACTATGTATCACAGAATGGTTTATTATTCTGTTGTAAAACAATTAAACGTTCTGTAACAACAAGCTCTCCTAAAATATCGCCTGATTGTTTCTCTCATCGCGGCAAACTTTTCAGGTTCCTATTTCACACACCAGCTGGTAGGATTCCTGACTCCCACCCAGGCAGTCCGGGTTCTACTCCTGGTGAGAGAGAACTTCGTGTGTGTCGTTGGTTCAGTGGTAGAATGCTGGCCATCCATGATATATGTGGCCCACGGCTCAATCCCCGGCCGACGCACTCCCAAACCTCGTTAAGCCGGTGGTAAGGCCGGTATAGAGGGAAGGTTGGGTGTGAGACTAGCAACCCCACTCCGTAAAAATAAAGCCAGTGCTACCAAAACTTCAAAGGTCTAGTTTGAGGCCTTATGTTTCACTGGGAACGTAAAGGAATAAAATAATAATTTCACACACCATACGAACTTTCGCCCAAGTGGAATTCATAAACTGTAATATTCATCTGAATTTGTGATTTACTATTTTAAGAGTGATGCTGTAATCTACCTTGTGAACAGTTGAACCAATCTAAGTCAAGTGCATTTTTCCAGAGTGAGAACATTCATAGTGATGAGGAATTTCAAGGTTTTAAAAAACTGCTTGCAACGCCCAAATTGAAATGCTTATTACAGTTACACTGACTTTTGTACCTGAAATTCCATTTTGTGGTGATCTTGTAGACTTCAGATAGTATTTTTCAATACAAAACAATATTTTGCGTAAATATTTCGATTATTTACAATAACTAATAATAGACACTTCAAGATTTCTTAATAGAAGCGTTAATCATTAAATAAATAAAGAGCAATCAAAATTTGTGGAATTATTTAGAGCATTGGCCTACACTGTGGGAAAATCAGACCATTAACATTCAAAAACTCACCATTAACATTTCTGATACTGACTTAAACTCTGATTGTTCAGCATCATCGTACATGGATGATCTGGGACTGGAATCAGTTGACCGGTTGGATGAGGTATTGTCATATGAAGAGGACTCTTGGAGTTCAATTTCATTATTTGTTGGAGTCACTGGGTGCGTTTCTTCTTTGCTTTCTGAATTCCCAGTTATTCTTAGTTTCAGTCGATTTTTCATCTCACCCAGGATTTCATTTCCTGAAGTCGTAAAAGCGTATATATATACATATAATATATCCCGAATAAACAGTCAACGTCGGAAAGGCAGATTATTCATTACTACCACTCCTGATGAAACTTCTATTCTTGAATTACGAGAGGGTCAACAGGCAGATTCTAAGTTGGATTGATGTTTGTATTTCTTGTAAAATATTACCACCTTTTATTGCAATGTAGTGAATACATCAATTAGACCTCCTAATACAGTTAAAAATAAGAGATATCTAGAGACTTTATTGTATTTTATACTTAATGTTGACTATGCGAAATCAGCCACCTCTGAATGGTCATTATCGATCTGGGTAAATCAGATATCAAATAAGTTACTAAAATCGGTGCTGACACCATCTTACCGAAGGCTAGTAGGATGAAATGAGCTAAGGTAGGATTGGTTGCTTTTATTTGAATGAAGATAAACCTAAAAGACAAGAAATCCTGTCATCGCTTAAGAACTTATGTTCAAAATAATTATCGTTAGATGGTAAATTTGTTTACTCAATCACCCTATGCAAAGGTTCAGCCAAAGGTTAAATAGCTTGCAGTAAACGTACTTCACTATAACACTGAATGAAATAAAGCCAAGTACCTGAAGAACCATGATTTGTTTCAAATATTTAAATATTAAGACTGAAAAAAAGTACAAAGCCCTCTCTGCTGATCAATTTCAAATATCTAACATTGAAACCCTTCCTTTGGAAAAATTCAAATAGCTGAACATAATAGCTAAAATTAACCACAGAAGGCAAGTGAAACAAAATATGAGTACACACTACTGACAGAATTTTGAAGAATAATATTAAAAAACATGTTCTTGTCCCGTAAAAAATGCACCTTTAAGTAAATAGCTATCCAAAACTCTTGAATGACAGCCACTAAGTCATCAGTCTGTAAAACCTCGGGAATATCGACGGCCAGCGATAACGAGGGACCCTTAAGAAGACTTGTGCGTCGGTGGTATAGCGGTTAAGACGCTCGCCGACCATGGACACGGTCCGGAGTTCGATCCCCGGCCGACCCACTCCTTTACTTCGCTGAGCCAGATATAATTCTGGTAAAGAGGAAAGGTTAGGCATGAGGCTAGCAACCCAATCCTGTAAAATAAACACTGCTACAGAAACTTGAAGCCTCTAGCTTGAAGCCCTATGTTCCACTGGGGAACGTGATAAAGAAATAATTGTCCTATACTAACACTCCAATGGAAAGCGGAAATCACTAGTGTAAAGATAGATAGTGAAGTGGTTGAATTCATTGATCACTTTACTAATATGAAAAGTTGCATGATCCCTAAAGAACTGGCCGTTGAACAAATCTTACCATCATTTTAAGTATCCTTTTACAAGGTTTGCCGACTTGAACTAATGCACTTTTTGTAATGTTACATGTTGATAAGTCAGTCAGTTTTCGAAATCAAAGTGTATTTGAAGACTCATCTATCTACCAAATGGAAACAATTGTACCAATCGACGATCATCAGAACATATCCTTAAAACATATCTCCATTGCCAAGTTCTATTCTGTTTTCTTATAAACTTATTTGGAATTCAGACCTATGTCTTAATTAATGTCTGAAAACAGTCCTGTTGAATATTACTATACATGTGACTGTATTGTGCCTTTATAAATACAATTATGTGTGTGTGTGTGTGTGCAAAGTAGCTACAATGGTCATCCGACCAATTAAATCCACGTGCTTATAGCTACTTAAAGATATCTCAGTGATTACATTGCTAAACAGAATGTTCCTCCACAAATATAAAGTCTATAACCGATTGCGTGCTAGTACTTATGACTAAGTGTTCTTCTAATCAGATGATTACAACGTGATCTTATAGTAGTGACTGAAATAGTCTTAATGCTCGCCGATGAGTTTTACATTTGTAACAATGCAAAATAAAATTCCAGTTCTTGTTCTACCAGTGCAAGTTCAATTCGGTGATAACTATGGAAACTAGTTAATCATGTTGTTTCAGAAGCATCATTACTGTATTGTTCAAATGACAAATGTAGGTAGAAAATGTTGTATCTGTCGATCAAAGTGACTGCTATTGATGTGTGAACAATGCAAATGACACCAGAAGAACATTACAAAATAAGTAAACTTTGAATAAGATTTACTGAACCAATGGTTAACTTCACATAGCTGACGAATTTATGTCACTCAACCGTAGTTAGTATACTTTCAAGGAAGATAATAGTGAGTGGGTGACTGATCTACAATAAGCCATCGTCCTGCTTGTCCACGAAAGCTAGCAATAAAGAAAGTCATTGCTTACTATTAGATTAAGACTGAAACTCACTACATGTAATCACACCTCTGCGTAACCTACAGATGGTCAAAATAGTAAAAATCCTGACAACCTTTCGAAATATGTGGAAACTTTGTCTGTCTGATTACTTCATATGAAGTAACTATATGGCACGAAGGTGCAATATTCGAGTTTGATTCAGTTAGTAAATTTAAAACTCATTAGTAATCCAGTAACTGTTAACAGTCAGACTTTATTAGAGGCCTATTTTATCTTTCCCATTATCCTACGATTTCCCCTATCACATGTATGTGCGAAATTCAAGTTTAGGAAGCTTTATGATATAGTCCAAAACTGATTAATAGCGGTCAATGGAATAAGTGTCACATCCGAAAATTTGTATAAAGTCAGTGTCAAATTGGTGCTGTTTAGAATCATGTTAAGTAACTTATAAATTTACTTAACTCATTTGCCATAATGTTTAGTCACCTGAGCCAACATCGTTCTTCAATTAAGAAGTAATGAATTGCACTCTCAAGTTTAAAGTATCTGGAAAATTCGCAGACTCCCAGTTTGCCAATTAAGTAACTATAAATCATTGAGAAATTCAATAACTGCAGTTTTATTTTCCAGATTCGCACAGTAATAGTGACAAACACTTGATAATTAAATACCCTATTCATTCAAAATGCTAATTCCAAGGAATAATGACTAGGTAGTATTCATTAGTGCTGACCTAAGTCTATCAACTGCTAAATCAGAAGACTATCCATCTCGACATACTTTTAATTCATTTTGGTCTGCTAGAGATTGCTTCCAGTCAAAAGTGGTGATATCTGCAATCTGAGTGAACAAGATGCATTCAAACTGACTACCGCGATCAGCAAGTATTCTGAAATTTGATACTTGGAAGATAGTAAACTGATGAGTGCCAGGCAGAATGAAAATAAAGCTTAGGTCTTCAGATTTGTTTGCAACACAGGATACGACATTTTCAAATAATCTAATTTGGTAAAAATCCAATTCTTTCGGAATGGAGGATCTAAACACCACAGCCATCGCCAAACGATTTCATATCTTTACCATATCAATATCTTTCACATCTCACTAGTGGCTAAATATCTTAAGATTAACGAGATTCGTCTCACAGTGAGTTCAGTTTTTTAGGATAGATATATGGAACTCAGAAACCAATTAGCTGCATACTCACGTGGGCCAAATAAAGCAATTCCTCCAAGTGGACGATCCACAACTTTCTTACTTGGTGAAGTGGGACTTTCACAGACAGCTTTTGCATTTGAATCCTAAACAATAAAAAAAGCTTAAAATAAGTTACCAAAAAACTGACAACAAAAGTCAAAATGTCCTAATCATAAACAATCACAAACAGAAAATTGAAACTGGTAAATAATGTCAATAGATAATGAACTGGAAAAGAAAACAAGCAATAAACGTTAATCAAGAAGGATTTAATGAATTCAACAAATTTCGCTTTTAACCTTTTTGCATGTTTTAAATTCATATTGGCAAATAAATGTTTTCAATTCTTGGAAAAGAAAAGAAGGAATAGAAATAGGCAAACAGCTCAACAGAAGTTAGATTCGTTATTCGTAAGTTATATAGTTCAAAGTGAAAACTGACCAAAGTTCCTTTTAGGAACTAAAAATATTCATATCACATTATGTTGCCTGTTTAATATTTTGCATGGATAACAAGATAACGGGTTCTGTAGAAGGATGGTATTACTGGTTAATTTTGAATGCTTTCCTGTCTTAGTAAATTTTCACCTCAAACTGTACCATTGCCAAAGTTGAGAATTTAATTTTTCATACTACCAGTTCACTTACACTGGTATCATGAATTCAAGCAGTGTGGGGTGATTCACTCTTGTGAGATGAGTTTATTTGGATATACTACTGATAAACTCGGTCCCAAACTTATGAAACTGCTGTTTCGATTTGGTTAACAAACATCACTGCTATGGGTGGTTTCCAAATACTCATACTGACTGGCGGTATTTAACAGCTCAATAAAAAATAATAAATAAGTTAATCAAGAATGTTACTAAAAGCACAACGCCTTTCTGTCGAATTAGATGCGATGTCTTTCATAAGTGATAGAAAAGAGAAAATAAAAAGGACTAATCACAATTCTAAACATTTTAAGATTATTTTTGTTCTGAAGACTGAGTGTTTAGAATGAACCGGCTGAAGACTTTTATGCAACTAAGTCTTAAGTTTAAAAGCTTTTTCTTAATGAAAAAGTTTGGGAAAGAAGAAATGAAACTTTCTGAAACTTTATTGTAGGCAGACTTTGTTTGGCTATTAGTATCGTTTGAGTTAACTTTTAAGGAAGGAGCCTTCAAACATACGACATCAAAGATTATGACTTCAGAGCTTGGAATAAACGGATAACATAAATACACAGAGATGTAAAAATATGTCTAGACCTCAAACATTACACCTCTTGAAAAATGTGGATTTTTGAAACTAACAGTTACAACAGTCTTTCGCGCTCACTATTTTTTCGTAAATGAAATATCAAAATAACAAATTAATACTACCGCAAAACTATACTTATTTTATTCCTTTGCGTTTTCAGTGGAGCATAGGGCTTGGAGCTTGCATTTTGAAGTTTCAGTAGCAGTGGTGTTGATTTTTACGGGGTGTCTCACACCCAACCTTCTCTTCTAACTGAGGTTAATAAGTGCGTCACTCCGGGATCGAACCCCGACCACACCAGTGGTACGTGAGTATTCAGCCAGTTAACCGCCAACGCAAAACTCTTAAACACTGAATATATTAGTATTGTCTTGTCACCAGAATTTGCTGATATAAAAGTTGAAACAAGCATAGATAATGGATAAATACATATTGGTTCTCATTCTCAATTTAGTTCATACAACAAAATATTCTCCACGAAAGTGGTCCTGGGCAAAGATGACCTGAACGTTTATTTTTCGAACTTTTATGGCATTTATTATTTCATCACAAAGTGAAATGAGCCTGAGAATCACTGGAAACCAGTGAAGGGCTAGATAACTGTTGCTCCATAGTTTAGGACTCTTCAGCAGTGCATACTCAAAGGTCACAAGCTAGGTTTCCGTGAGATTTTAACTGATATCGTCACGAAACGATATCTTTACTGAAATTAATCAAATCTCTCTAAACGTAACATTGAACTGAAAGTTTTAATAGATACTTTATGTGTATTAAGAAATCAATGAGTAAAGGTGGAAAGATTTTCAAAACTATGACTTCGAAGCTGCTGTGGAGTTTTTCGAAAGCTTTGCAAATGAAATACGGCAGTAGGTATATAAAAATAGATACAAGAAGAATACTATAAAGACTGTGTCAGATTTTCTCCCGCTGCAATAAGTGACAAGTTCTACGGAAAAATCTTAGTTTCTAAAACCAAAGAGGAATGCATCTAATAATCACAAACAAAAATATTTATTTCTATCTCAGAAAAAATGCGTACTTGATTTTTCGTTATAATTCTAACACTTGACTTCATTATAGCACATATGCATACACAGCAGGCTAACAAAAATGGGACTGGCACACTGACATCCAGCTGCACTGTACTTTCTTTCATGATGTGGTTATTTGAAAAGGAAGAATAATGATACTAACATGCATACCAAATATGAGTGAAAGCCTTAGCTTTCAACATTGAATTTTCTAAACAGTATGTTTTAAGGCACCTAATGGTAAACATTAGTCGTGAGAGACAGACAACCTGGAAAAAAGCTGTCAATAAAGACAGTTAATTCTTCACTTAAAGCCACTGGACATACAAAAAAAATAGGAAAGAGGAAACAGATGAATTCTTTCTACAAAAGGAAGAAGAGATATTTCATTTGTGACATCCAATAAAATGCTTAGTTTGTAACAAAGGTGAAACTGTTGTTTCTTCAAAGAATTTTATTTTCAGTACACAGTTTGCATGTGGCATTTGTATACATTTGAAGCATTTGTAAACGGCTGTAAGTTGACAGAAATATATAATCAGTCTTGATTTATCATATTCTATGTTGGACGGCGACTAGCGCTAGAATCTACGGTGCGCATTTCCTACTGTTTACAGCTTGTCAGCTCGATATGCCTGAACTCGCAATGTGGGTTCAGACTATCTAGTACAAGGGACTAGTACAAGGTGAAGCTAAAAGCCTTGAGGATAGCTGTGGATAGGCCACAATGCAAGTTCAACACTCAAAAATTGAAGGACACAACCACAAACGACACTTTCACTGCAACTGTCAGAGCAAAGCAGGAATCACTACGTGACATCACTGAAGAATCATGCGTGGAAGACTACTGGAACTCTCTGAAGATGATTTCCAACGAAACATGTTCAACGATTTTAGGAAGAAAGAAGAGACAAGACAAAGAATGGCTCTCAACGAACACTTGGACGCTAATAGAGGAGAGGAGAATGGTGAAAGAGAAAATGATTCAATGCAAAGACGGACAGGAGAAGGAGACGCTGAGCTCAACCTACACAGCATTGGACAAAGAAGTGAAGAAGAGTGCTAGGAAGGACAAAAGACAATTCTACGACAACCTGGCCGCTGAAGCTGGGAAGGCAGCAGGTAAAAGGGACCTGAGGACATTATATCAGATAACCAAATCTCTATCCGGGAAGAGATCAACACAAGTGAAACCTATAAAAGACAGCCAAGGGAACCCAATTACCAAGGAAGAAAGACAGATTAAACAATGGGCGGATCACTTCAAAGGACTCTTGAACCGACCATCACCTGCAACCCGTCCAGAAATACCAACAACAGCGCGCACACAACTGCAAGTTGACACCAATCCTCCAATGAAAGTTGAAGTCTTGAATGCAATCAAGCTTCTGAAAACTCGAAAAGCAGCTGGACCAGATGGAATACCCCCTGAAGCACTGAAAGAAGACCCAGAGACGACAGCAGATATGCTGACTCGATTATTGCAAAAGGCCTGGAAGGAGGGAAAGGTGCCTACTGACTGGAGGAAGGATTACCTTGTGAAACTACCAAAGAAGGGAGACTTAGGTCTCACTCTGCAAGAACTGGCTAGGAATCATGCTCCTGTCGGCACCAAGTAAAATAATGATTCGTATTATCCTGGAGAGAATGAAGGACGCACTGGAGACAGAACTCCGGCCAGAACAAGCTGGATTCGTGAAAGGCAAGTCATGTTCTGACCAAATTGCAACTCTAGACATCATCATCACAGAACAAAGTATGGAATGCCACTGAAACCTCTACCTCAACTTTATAGAATTTGAGAAGGCCTTCGACAGACAGCGTTGACCGCCAAGTAATTTGGAATCTACTTGTGCACTACGACGTACCCCAAATATTCATCAACCTTATTCAACAGCTGTACGACAACGGCACATGTCAAGTGATCCACAACGGAAAACTCAGTGAGACGTTTGGAGTAAACACAGGAGTGAGACAAGGGTGCCTATTGTCTATCACCAATGATATTCCTAATTGTGGTTGACTGACTGGATTATGCGTCGGACAGTGGGAAACGAACAGACAAGAATATCCTGGACTGACGGGAAAAACGTTGAAGGCCTGGATTTCGCGCGCGGATAATTTATGTTTGATGTTACACAAAATCGAAGACTTCCAAGCGAAAACTGACAAACCGGTCGGAGAAGCAACAAAGACGGAACTTCAGGTGAAGTAGGTTATGAAAATAACCAGCCAGCAGCAACAACAACAACAGAAGCAACATCCAGCGCCAATCACCATAAACGGGAGGGATTTAAAAGAGGTTACTTCACTCACTTATCTAGGGAGCATTGTCTCAACTACATGAGGAACGGACGAGGATGTCATATCGAGCGGGAATCGGGAAGGCGAGAAACACATTCATCAACCTGAAACCAATCTGGAAATCTTCGTCACTCAGCCAGTATCAACAACAAATTTCGGTCGGATTTTCAATACAAACGTCAAATCAGTCAGTTCTTCTATATGGATCAGAAACTTAGCGGGCGGGTCACAAAAAATATTTCCAACAGCCTGTTGCAGACCTCCATCAACAACTGTCTTCGCTGGCTCTATACTGAAGATCAGAAGGCCGGGCCGGGAAGAATCACCAACAAGAAACTTTGTGAAGGAACAAACAAAACAAGAACCAATCGCCAACCAACAAATATGCAGGAGAAAGTGGAGATGGATTGGACACTCGCTGAGGAGGCCGCTGGGTGACATCGCGTGAGCGTCAGGCCATCGTTCGAGTGGAACCAGGCCGAAAGGGAAGCGGCGAGTGGGACGTGAGTGCAAGGATGACATGGAGGAGATGGTGTGAAGAGGAGTTGAAACAGCATGAACTAACATGGATGCAGGTGAAAAGTACAGCAGAAGACAGAAGCAAGTAAAGACGTGCGGTTGAAGCCCTAAGTTCCACTAGAAACCAAAGGGAATAATATATATATATATATATATATATATATATATATATATATATGAATTACAGTCGATGGTAACAATCAATTTTCTTGCGTATGTGTGCGTAAAAGCTTGATACAAGGGGTGAAACACTAAAATGAGATATTATTGGTTGTAGGATTATGAACCATAATAGATTAGATATATTTAATTATTCTTACTGTATATATATATATATACGATAGTACAGCTATGAAAATGAAGTCCTCGAAAAGAGAACTTTCTTCTCTAAATTCTTTGTTCTTATGTCTCAGTGAGGACTACTAATTTAATCTTTTAATCCTCGGGCATCACTGAGTCATTCGTACTAGGAGCCGGCATGTCAACTGGGACCAAACAGTCCGGTCCTCCATAATCAGTTGACAGTAAATAAGAAATGAAATTCAACAGATCTTGATTCGTGATCTTCAAATACAGGAAAATATAAACTTTAATATGGAAATAACAAAGATACACCTAACTGCTGCCATCTCACTTTACTATTATGGAGGTCTGCCATAAAGAAGACAATCTCTTCAACAGTATTTCATATTGCTTTGTGTCACTGGAATGCAACATGTGTACCTTCAACTAAATGTTGCTAATATTCCATGTAAGGGAAAATTTAATCATCACAAAGTATTACAGGAATAACAGTCACTACCCATTAGCGGCTGGTTTAATTGGCTTCATATAAAATGATTTCACAGCAGATATTCCAACGTACTTTATGCTCAGACACAACTGGATTTGTAGCCTCTTGTATTATCACATCAAAGACATATTCGCCTAATTAGGTTTGAGAAATCCGACAAAACCGCAGTCACATTCACGCTTCTTACTTACCAAAAAATATACATGTCTGATAAACTCCTCGAATTTATCAATTTACTAGAGCTGCAGATAAGGGGTGAATAATAAATGTGTTAACTGTTTATTATTATGATTATTACTCATTATTGTTTCCTTTAAATCCTAGAGGAACATAGGGCTTCAGCCGCATGTCTCCATCGCGTTTGGTTCTCTGCCAACGTTTTCACCTGGCTCTACGCCTGCCCATATGCTTTCATCTCCTCTCCACAAGACCTCCTCCATGTCAACTGTTAATGGATAATTTAATTCTGCACATATTGTTGACCATTCTTCTGTTTTAGCATGTGTGACTTTGGCTAGAGAATTTCTCGTTTCCATAGCCATAAATGCGAATTAGTAACTATACTTAAACATCTTTCAAGACATATATTTATTTTCATTAGGCCCATAATTATGAGGAACTCCAGACAGAAAAGGATTTTTGCTTAAAAATCTTAACGTTTGTTCGATATTATCCTAAAAGTTTTCATCTCCTATATATAATAGTGGGTGTACTGTCTACTTGTGATTATTTTCATTGGACACGATTCCTACCAGAAAGGAATTAAGCTACCAAAGGATAATTCAACGAACCCACTTAAATGATACGTATGCATACAGAAACTAATCATTTCACATCTGTAATCTCGGTAGAATATATTGAGGTGTTGATTAAGCCTGTCATTTATTTAGAGTGTCATAACTGCAAAGAACACATACTCTAATTAGCACTTTGCGATAATTATGATCACAAGTTAAGCAATTTTAATTTGTGACTAACCTTAATACAATAGTGCTTTAGATATAAATAGTTCATATGTACACGCACAATATATTAGACATCAAACCCTGTTCAGATGCATAAGTTCACAGTTAAATCGAATGATTGGTTAGTGCAGATAACAGATTATATTGATGATGCGAGCACAGTGAATAAAACAAGCATAAGATAGATAGGTTATGCTGAAAATAAATAATTTGTAATTTATTCAAAAATATTTATGTTTATATATACTCCGTTTTCATTATTCTCATATATAAAAGACATTCAAGTGGCAGTCACAATATTTTCAAATGAATTTTAATATTTTACACAGTAGTCAGATTAATCAATGTGATTTTGTCTGGATAAACGCAGTTTAACATCTCAATGATAAAGTTCTTGTCAATTAGTTTTATAGTAGTAAACAACAACACTTAATTGATTAACACTAATTGAATTAATTGCAAATGCCTGGTTTTAGAGATGTGAAGTCAAAAAATGCAGAGTATTTCGTTATGAGCACTACTTTGTTGCATCAGAAACACATTTTCAAATTAACTGATGAATTTGAAGCCGGTTCCACTTACTTTCTAAAGCATTATACATAACTGTCACAAATGATCAGCATTAAATGACTGGGCATGTTGGATCACATTATTACATTGCCATCTGTTGTATCCTCTGAGCTGTGAGATCAACTGTGAGGTTGGCAGTACAATGTAAGTTTTGCAATTGAACCACTCAGCTCAGAAAGCCTAACACAAATCTCCTCTGTCACTTCACTTTACGAATTTGTATATACAATTTTATAGCTCATAATGGTGAACTGTCATATGTAAATTTCAGTTATTATACTACTGACACTTTACCGTAACCTCACCTAGTTTACTAGCTTAGTAGTCTTCTAGCCGGTCCCAAGCCCGAGTAAAGAGAGAGTATTGCGAATGGGGCTAGCGACCCTAGACCACAAAAGCTACCAAACTGCTAAAGAAACTTCAACACACAAAAAATATATTAAAAATACAAAACAGTAGAAAATAAACTTATTCGTCGCTAGAATAGGAGAGGCTAAATGACACAGCGGGTTGATAAAAGCCTTCAGGTAGCCAGTCAGCCGATGTGCCTTCCCTCGATAAAAGCAAGAATAAGGATGGGGACTTGGAATGTCTGTACAATGTACGAGACTCGAAAGGTTGCCCAGGTAGCCAAAGAAGTAAAGAGATATGGCATACAAGTGCTGGGTACCTGTGAGAGCAGATGGAATGGATGCAGATTATCAAAGTTGTCAACTGAAGAGTCAGTAATTTACTCCAGTCTGGTCATCCAGACGACAATCACGAGCACACTGAGGCAGTGGCTACCATGAGTTCACCAGCGGCAGCTAATTCTCCCATGCAGTGGGAAACAATTTCATCCAGGCAGCAAGGAAGGAAATTTGCACTCATCCGATGCTATGCAAAAGGTTACAAATAATGCGAAACAAGAGAAGAAGGGAGATTTTTACAGACAAATACAGACAGTAATGGAAAACATCCCGAATGATTATATCAAAATCCTTGTGGGCGATATGGACGCAAGCCAAATTGGGGGCAGATAATACAGGAAGAGAACTCATCATGAGTCGAGAGGCCCATGGAGAACTGAATGAGAACGGAGAATTATTTCCAAACTTCCATACTTCTCTACTCAATGATTTGGTAATCAGAGGCAGCGTGTACAAGCGTACTGATGAAGAGTCCCAAACTAGGACGAAACAGCTGTCCAGTACTCCCAGGTTTTCCAATGGTTCTCTAACTAATGTCAGCTCATGATGAAATCCTGAAAATGTATTTCTTCTGACAGACTCACCACAAACCAGACAGACTTCATCTCAAGGTTGCTCAAAGAAGTGGAAATGAATCCTGCAGGTTACAAAGTCAAGGAGGGTGGCATATGTGAGCTCACACCGTCATCTAGTTCAAGGAATCTTCAAAGCCAAGCTGAGTTCTATCAGAATAGCTGGAGGTAGACCATAATTCAGGTTGAAAAACGAAAGATGTGATTACAAAAGATACCTTCACTGCAGCCATCAGTGGAGATCGGGCATACACTGAGGAAACCGTCAAATGACATCGCGTGCCCGGCCATAGCTTGAGTGAAATCCCAACAGGAAGCGACGAGTGGGTCGTCCTATGTTCACATGGAGGAGATCGTGTGGCGAAGAGATAAGAGATTATGGGCGATCGTGGTTCAAAATGAAGAGGACGGCAGAAGATAGGACAAAGTGGGAATGTGCTGCTGAAGCCCTATACTGCACTCGGAACCCAAAGGAATAATAATAATGCTTTACCATGGAATCTACCTGCATGAATACAACTTGCTTCAGCAGCCAAATAAATTAAGCTCAGTTCCACTAACGTACTTTTACTTTAATGAATGTGATTCACCGTTTTTATTTGGTCAGTGTGCTCAGAAAAATATTCACGTTTTTGTTAAGATGCAGCTGATTTATTTGTGATAAATCAAGCTTCAAAAAACGTTGTTTGACTGTATATTTGAGAGTTATTGGCGTCTGTTCAAAAGAAACAGGCAGTGCATCACAGTAAATAAGCACCAGAAGAGCAAGAAATTAAAGGTAAGTTGAATAGATAGAAATAAACATGTATGACTAGTTAGGAAACCTTGCGACTAAAATTGATGTGATTATGAGCAATAATTTATGATGGAAACGTCGTCCATTTATTAATACTGCATCACTGTATGGTGTTTATTATTATTATTATTGTATCCCTTAGTTCATAGAGGAACATAGGGCTTCAGCTGTGCGTCTCCATTGCCTTCTGTTTTCTGCCAACTTTTTCACTCTGCTCCAAGTCTGCCCACATGCTTTCATCTCCTCCTGCTCACATGACCTCCTCCAAGTCACCCACGCACTGACGACCAACTCGCCGCTTCCCTTTCGGCTGGGTTCCACTCGAGCGATGGCTTGTCTAGTGATGTCACTTGATGGTTTCCTCAGTGTATGGCCAATCCATCTCTATTTCTTCCAGCCTATTTGTTTCACAATCGGTTCCTGCTGAGTTGGTTCGCTCATTGCCAGAGATCTCTGTTGCTGATCTTTTCTGGCTGGCCATCTGATCTTGAGTATTGAGCGAAGACAACTGTTAATGAAGGTCTGAAGTTTGTTGGAGATGCTCTTTATAACTCGCCAAGTCTGTGATCCGTATAGTAGCACTGACTGGCTTCACATTGGAGTTGAAAATCCAGATCTTATTTTTGATTCTGAGTGCTGTTGATCTCCACACAGACTTGACAGTAATGAAAGCTTGTCTTGCTTTTCCGATTCTGGCTTTGATATCCTCGTCAGTTCCGTGCGGCTGTAGTTGAAACGATGCTTCCCAGGTAGGTAGGTAGGTAGGTGAAGGAGGCTGTTTCTTTCAGGTTCCTCCCATTTATGCTGGCTGATTGTTGTCTGTTGTTGTTGTTGCTGTTGATGTTGGCCAGGAATCTTCATCACCTACCTCTGTTTTATCTATGTTCACGTGAAGTCCTATCTTTGATGCTTCTTCTGCCAACTTGTTACTTTTCACTTGCATATCTTCCAGTTTATGGGAAATCAGACATATATCATCGGCGAAATCCAGAACCTCAAAGTCTTTTGTGTCAGTCCATTTTATGCCTGTTCCCTCGTTGGTTGCCGTTGTCTGTCGCATTATCCAATCTACTGCACTCAGGAAGATCATTGGTGATAGTAGGCAGCCTTGTCGCACTCCCGTCCTCACTTCGAAGGCTTCCGTAAGTTTCCCGTTGTAGATTATTTGGAATGCAGCATTGTCGTATAACTGCTGGATGAGATGTATAATTGTCGATGGGACCCCGTAGTAGTGAAGTAGTTGCCAAACCACCTCTCGATCGACGCTGTCAAAGGCCTTTTCAAAGTCGATGAAGTTGAGATAGAGAGGCAAATGACATTCCAAGCTTTGCTCAATGATGATCCGTAGTGTGGCGATTTGATCAATACATGACTTGTTTCTCCTGAATCCAGCCTGTTCCGGTCGAAGTTTCTCACCCAGGGCTTGTTTGATTCTCTCCAGGATGATGCGCCCTAGTATTTTGCTTGGGACGGACAGGAGAATAATTTCTCGCCAGTTTTTGCATTTACTTAAGTCTCCTTTCTTTGGTAGTTTGGGTAAGTATCCTTTCTTCCAATCCTCGGGTACTTTGCCCTCTTTTCACACCTTCTCCAGCAGTGGCGTCATCAAGTCCGCTGTTGTCTCTGGGTCTATTTTCAAAGCTTCTGGTGGGAGTCCATCTGGTCTTGCTGCTTTTCCAGCTTTTAGCATCTTGATTGAATTCAGGAATTCCGATTTCGTCCGGGGGTCGATTGTCACTGGTAGTTCTGCTTCCGTTGTTGGTATTGTTGTGCGCGTTGTATGTGGCGGACGATTTAGAAGTGTTTAAATAAACTTATCCAATGTAGAGTTACAGTCGACCACAGTACCCAAGTTCTAAACCTACATTAATAAAGTATTAATTTAATTTAATTAATAATTTAAAAAAGTTAACTGCCTTGCAACACTGTTGTCGAATTTATTACATTTCCTAACAGAAGTGACTACTGTTCTGCAAAGATCCACCTGAGCTACAAATCTTCTCTATTATTTCAAAGATCAGTGATATTCGTATCTTTAAATGTCTTCATATAAAGTTGAACATAAAATGAAGAAAACAACCTTGAATGTAATAAAATACAACTTGAAACTATCACCAAAAGGTAGAGAACTGTGATTCTGTACTTCATGTGGCTATTTTCAGCAAAATGTAACTAAAACTGTCCAGAATACTGATACTGACAGTGCAGTTTTCATTTTTTTTGGATACGAGGCTGAGGATGAATCTGCTCGTAATTATTAAATCCCATTAAGAACGGTATATTGTATAGATAAACTATACACACCGAATCAATAGCTAACTCTTGAAGCAGGAAGTCTAACCAAGTTATACTTATAACACGTAAACTACGTCTGTCTTCAATTAAATCAGCCGTGGCGTTAGCTTCCACATGCTACACTTTCAAATGCCTTAACAAGTGAAGCATTCAGGAATGAAATATACCATAAGACAGTTGGCTTTAGTAAAGCATAACACGACTGTCCTCTCATTAAATTTTTACGGCAATTAGATAAACACTATTAGAAAACTAACCAGTTATTTATTATTTAGTAACACGACACTAAGTAAATGGAAGTCAGTCACTATTATTTTTTCAGCAATCCGGAAGTTCCCTGGAATCTTTCAGTTAACTTTACGCAGACGAAATATCCATTTAAGATAAATCACTTACAAATCATTTATCCCGTATTGATAACTCAGAGCATAATATTATACAATAAGAGAAAGTCATTAATACCCACCTTTTACCTTATTACAAAACATAACCAGTGTAATGACAGACAGGCCTTCAACGATTCAGTTCAGTATTTCAT